ATCTGACAGGCTGAGGGAAAATGCTTCCACCCTCTCTCCTAATTCAGGCTCTGCCCAGAGCCTCCTGCGCTCCTCTTCCGACTCCTCGATTGTGAATGATCCTGGATTGGGCCGGTTCCTTATACTCCTTGGCCCGGTGTTCCTGCAAGTAATTATTTCATAATTYCCGCAGGCAGGATCGCATAAGAGGAGGATCAACGTTCCATTATGTTTGTTGAACATCACGGTCTCTGTCCTGCTTAGGAATGACATCCCCATGAGGATTCCATGGTCCACGTCTGGCATTATGAAGAAGCATGCCCTGACCTTCACCTTTCCAACCTCGACGAGCACATTCGAGGCTGTCCCGCAAAACATGGCCTTACAGTTGGCTCCATGCAGAATACCGCAGTCAGAACGGTCTATATCCAACCCGAATCTGATCGCGTCCGCATCCCGAATAATGTTCATCTCTGCCCCGGTGTCCACCATTGCTGCGCTTTTGGAACCCTTCACCATCAAATCCACCGTACCACAAGCTACGCACTTCCAGTCCATCTTCGTACCTGACTCTGCCCACTCTGCCTCCTTGGGCAGGATCGTACCCAGATGGACATTGGGCACCAGGCGCCGTGATAACCTCTCCTTCAGTTCATCGCGGAGTCGCGGGGCTGACGCTAGGATTTCCTTCAGGGTCATGAGGTCATTATGCCCTTCCAGCAGCCGGTCAATCACCTTCTCTACGTCAAATCCTTCTTCCAACCGGACCGTGTATTTCTTCTTTTTGGGCGGTCCATCCTGTATGACTGGTTCGGCCTCTCCCCTGATCCCCTTTTTCCTTGCCCGCTGCTCCGCTCTCTGATCCTCTTCTCTGCGCAGCCTCTCATCCTCTTCCTCTTCGTCATCGTCGTCCTCTACTTCCACAGCCTCTTTCCTTCTCCCTAGTTCGTGTTCCCCCCTTGGAGGCTCTTGGCTGGTACTGGCCTTGGCCTGATTCCTCGTTCGCGCTGCCTGTGCCAGCCGGGCTTGCGGGGTGAGGGGTCTCACCCTTATCCCTGGTTGAGGGCACGACCCCACCACATTTACTCCGGGTCGCCCAGGCGCTGACTCCGGGCCAGAGTCATAGAGGAATACTGTGGGGATGTTAGACCTCCATCCTTTCACTCCTTCACAGAGGCCTACCAACTTCTGTTGGTACCTCCCCATCTTATCCAGCAAGTCCTTCATCTTCTCAAATAAGACGGACGGAAGCTCAGTTCTTTCCTCCTCCTCGTCGTCATCTGACTCGATGATTATGGCCTCTTCTTTTCCCCTCCTCCTCGTAGCCCTTGAGTCACTTCCTCATCACTTCCCACTTCTTCCACCCCAAACGGTGGTTCCTCCTTTTCCTGCCATAGCCTGAACATGGCAGGGGGCGGTGGTCCCGCTGCCACTCTTCGTTGGGCTTCAGCCCTCACTCCTCCAAGCCTTCTGTCAATGGCCTCCCCAAATTGATCGTAGATATCCCCATCCATAGCAGAGGAAATCAGCCCGCTTCTCTCGTCTTCCCGTCTTATATTACAGAACCTTATAGTGTGGCCTTGCTGCTCACAATGTTGACAGATGGCCGTCCTCCAGTCAAAGCGGGGTCTTCCATACCCCTGACTTCTCTGATCCTTCAGCCTTGATACCCCTTGCCTTGATAGCCTTGGCCTTGGTACCCCTGGCCCTGACTCCCTTGGCCTTGGTACCCCTGCCCTTGACTCCCTTGGCCTTGGTACCCCTTGCCTTGACTCCCTTGGCCTTGGTACCCCTGGCCTTGGCCATTCCATTGCCTTCCTCTTCCGCCGCCATTTCTGCCTCGCCCCTTTCCTCCACCCCTCCCTCCATTGCCTTGATTGCCCTGTCCCTGGTTCCCACCCCCTACAACACTGCCCTGTGAACTGGGATCAGGTGACGGTGGCGGGGCCACAGGTTGGGCCTTGGCCGCGGGGTAGATGGGTGGTGGCATACTCGTTTGCGGTCCGGCTACTGGCGGCGTACTTCCCCATGGTACAATTGCGTTGATTATCGGTCAGGGCCACTGTCCATAGGAGGGCGCCCCGCCTTGCGAGGGGCCCGTACTAGATGATGGAGCCGCCACATTTAAAGGGGCTGCTGCCTGGGTTTGAGGCGCCTGCACTTTTCCTGATTCCTGTCCGCCCTGCGCCAAATTACGCACTTTGCGCTGGACCTTTGTCAGGTGTTGCGGCACCGGCTCTTCCTCTTCCCAGAGCTCCTCCTGGCCAGCCTCCTCTATCACTGGCTCTTTTCCTTTTACTTTGACAGCCGTCACCACCCTTCTTTGCACCACTGGCTCTGTCGCATACCCTMGCTGTGCCAATACGTCTGTAACAATCCTTGTTACTCCCGGGGTCCCAGAAGCGGTCGCATCTCTTTCCTTTCTCTTTTGTCTTTGCAGGCGTACCTGACGTTGTTCCACCTGGTCCAA